TATATAATTATATATGTGTCGTATTATTTTGCAGTCGTAGTCGTAAGGTCGAGTGTAGGTTGAACAAAACAAAGAAAATTGGAGACCATAAAACAACACGTCCGTTCCCTTTCGGGTCCTCAGTCGAACTCTATTTTATTGGTGCTGTTAACCTCATTCCAAAAGGGACAAGATTAACAAAGTAAAATACAGAAAATATATACAAAATTTACAAAAATTTTAAATGCCCCCCTCCTGAAAAGGCGACATCATGGAGCCTCAGAGAGGTTGGGCTGGGTGTTATACAATTTATCGGCTTGAACTCTAATGTTGGTTGGATTATAATACGGTATAATTTTATCTACATTTACAATATCGGTTAATTTATTTAATGATTGGACAGGTCTGTCTATTTCTATGTTACAAGGAGATACGATTTTTAATATGGTGAAAGGTCCATGATACTTTGGAGCAAGTTTTCCTTGGTCGGGATGGAAGAAGGTTTGTAGTAATATTTGATCTCCTACTTTGAAGTTTGGAGTTTAATGTTGACTATTATATTTATCTCTGTTTCTTTCGTGAGCTAATTCAGTTCTTTCGGTGGCAATCTTACGTGCTTCGCTGAGAGAGGGATAATTCAAGTTGTGAGGTGAATCGGGGATTTCTCCGTACATCAAAAACATTGGAGGGTTACAAAAGGATACAACCAAACACCCCTGTTATAGTATGGGGTGTTTGGTTGTATCCTTTCACAATGTCACGTAACAGTTGAGTCCAGGATCGTTTTGGATTTTCTGAATATTTTATTCTTAGTCTAGAGACGAGTGTGGCGTTTAGTCTCTCAACTATCCCATTGTGCTGTGGTCGCTGAGTACTTGTTAGATGTTGTTTGATTCCATTCCGTTCTAAATATCTTCTGAATCTAGAGGAAGTAAATGAAGGTGATCTATCTGTTAGTAGACGTTTTGGGCTGCCTGTTTGTAATATGTTGCCTAGACAATCTATGTAGGCATTTATAGAAGTAGATTTGGAAGGGAAACACCAAGCAAACCTAGAAAAGTGATCGATGGAAGGTAGCCTTTAGTAGATCCGTATCTTTGCATTCCAGAGACAGTGTCCATAGATAACATGTCAAATGGAGCTTTTGATGAAGGTAAGTCACCTAACAAGCCAAACTTTTTATGGTTGTATGTCTTTGCTTTCTGACAAACATCACAATGTTTAACAAACTCTACAACATCGTTGATGACATTCGGCCAATAGTAACGTGGACTGATTAGTTTCAGCATCTGTGTTATACCTGGGTGACCATAGTGTGCATGTGCCCTGGATAGCACCTTGTACTGAAGCGATGGAGGTATGACTTTCTTTATAAATCCCTTCTTTCTGATACAGATTACATCTTCATGATCTCAGAAGAACTTGGGTGAGGTGAGTAATGCGTTATCCTGGTTGGAAAGGACTTCCTCAGTGGTAACAAAATGGCTCACGGGAGCTCTGGATAAATAATCAGCTTCTATATTCTGGCTTCCCTTCTGATGTTTAATGTCATACTGATACATGCTCAGTTTCAAAGACCATCTAAACAACCTTCCAGATGGGATTTTTATACTTTTGTATAGTTTCTATATTTGATAATGAGGGGGAGTAATTTTCTGGTTTGATGTTGAACCCAAGATAATTAATCTCAGATCTAACAAACTGACATTTTTTAAGATTTAAGTAAAGTCCTTCCCTTGAACATAATTCAAATACTCGTGTTAAATGTTTTAGGTGTTCATCCACGTTCTGACTAAAAATTAACAAGTCATTAAAATAATTGATGAGAAAAGGAAATCTATATTTATTTAGGATATTTTTTAAAACTAGCTGAAAAATCTAGGACGAAGTCTTTAGGCCAAATGGTAAACGATTCCACTGGAAGTGACCAGAATTCGTTACAAAAGCAGTTACTTCTTTGTCTTCAGAATGGAGAGGAACCTGCCAATAGGCTGACAGAATATCTACAGTAGAAAATATTTTCGCACCTATTAGTCTATCTAGCAGCTCATCTATTCTGGGAATAGGTTCATTGTTAATTTGTTAATTTTGTTAATTAAATTGTTAATTTTAATCTTCTCGTTTAACTTCCTATAATCCATACATAGTCTAGTTTTTCCCTCGTCTCTTTTCTTAGCTAATGTGACTGGGGCAGTGCACGGGGACGACGATGGTTCAATTAATCCCGATTTTAGTAATAGTTCCACCTGTCTATCAATCTCTTCTCTATCACGGTAAGATGCTCTGTAAGATTTGAGAGTTATGGGCCTTTCGTCCGTAAGTAATATCCTAGGGGAAGCTACTTTTAGGGCTGGCACTGAAAACTTCTCAGCAGAAAAAACTTTTCGAAATCCTAAAATAATGCTCTTTAGCTTCTGTTTCTGTTCATCCTTCAGATTAGGGTTAACAACATCCCTAATGTTAAAAATATTTAGCAGAGATTCCTCTAAGGAAGTAGAACTATCCCTACCCCTACAAGTTTCTGCTGCATTCTGAGCTAAAGGAGGTGGGAAGACAAGGTTAGGAGCCTGAGGGGTCTCCCTCTGATCTATCTTATATAAGCTATTACTATTGTTACTTATGCAATCACAAGAATGATTAATATCTCTACTATAGTGACTATTTGTGGAACTAGAGTGATATGAACGTACTTCGAAATAGGATCTAATGTTAGGATAGTCTGATTTTGGATACTACATGTAAAGTAATGCTTTTTGTTAGGCTTCCAATCTTAAGGGGGATTGATACATTAGCCATGCTAGTGGTAGATCCTGCAGCTGTAGTGATAATATTCACATCCGATTGATATTGAAAGTATCTGGATAAAGTCTCTAATAGTCCTTGGGATATAAGGCTGATGGAGCTTCCTGTATCGATGAGTGCAGGCATCGTCTTGTTCTCCACCGAAACAGTTAGTAGTAGTCAAGATGGTGAAGTTGATTCTGATTTATTTGCTTCAGATACCATGTGTATGTCTCTGTGAGTAGGAGCTGAATATCTTTGGGGACAGTCTCTTCTCCAGTGCTGGGCTGGTAATCCCTGCTGATAGCAAAAACGGCAAGGCGATGGCGGTGTGCTCATGTGATGTGCCAAATTACTGGGGTTGACCCCTTGGTGGAATCCAAGATGGCGTGCAATGTTCCAAATTTCTGTACTAGGTTGATCTCTTGGTGGAATCCAAGATGGCGTGCAATGTTCCAAATTTCTGTACTAGGTTGATCTCTTGGTGGAATCCAAGATGGCGTCGTTTTCTTTGTGTGCGGCCATGACAGTATTTGGTTTTCAGCAAAGTGTTGAGATGCTGTGTAATTTTCTCGATTCGGTTTAGTTGCTGGATGATTTTCTTTCTGGGTTTTCGGAGGATGATCTGCTTCTTCTTGAATTTTTATTAACTTAGTAGCCTTCTGAAGCCATTCGACAGCGGTGGTTGGCAGTGCAGCTATCATATATTTTCTAATTTCTGAGTTTATGCCGGCATTGAGGCCCGTAATGGTCTGTTGCATGTTTAACTTAGCTTTTTCCGCCAAGGAGGTTTTGTCTCTGTAGTAAGTTAAGATGTTTTCTTCTCGCTGGTGTCGTCGATTTACAAACTCGGTGAAGTAATCTTCTTCTTCCTGTGGAAAGTACTCGAGTAATTTTTGTTTAATTTTGTTCCAATCCGTTTCCTCTACTAAATTTTCACAAAAATAGTCGAAAGCTTCATGCTGTAAATACTCTGGTATGTAAAAGTGAAGCTCCTGTTCGTCAATCTTTTGTCTCGCCGCTTGCTTCTCAAACAGTCTCATCCACGAAGTCAAACTTAGCTTTCCACGTGGGTTAAACGGTATAAGATTTAGTTTAGGAGAGGTAGAACTACCTGTTTCTGGGATGGATTTGTCTCTAGATTTACTCATGGCTGGTACTAAGGTAATCCTGTCGACTCTTATAAATTGTCGTATTATTTTGCAGTCGTAGTCGTAAGGTCGAGTGTAGGTTGAACAAGACAAAGAAAATTGGAGACCATAAAATAACACGTCGGTTCCCTTTCGGGTCCTCACTCGAACTCTATTTTATTGGTGCTGTTAACCTCATTCCAAAAGGGACGAGATTAACAAAGTAAAATACAAAAAATATATACAAAATTTACAAAAATTTTAAATATGTTATATGTATATCTTTTTATATAAATATATATTATTTTTAATATTCTATATTCAGCAAAAGCAACAATAGTTAGATGGTGTGATATTACAGCTCTGTGATAAACTTGCGTGTAATTTTCCAAACCTTTCTTATTCAGTACTTTAAAAATTTTATTGTAAAAAGATTAGATACGTCATCCTAACAAATCAATCAAAGATTAGATACGTCATCCTAACAAATACTCCACGTCGTTTCTTGAGTATCCAATTCAATTTCTCGCAGTATTTGCACGCGAAATTTCTTTCTAACCTTTCTTGTAGGCAAATAATCCTTCAGGTTAACGTGTTCCAAAATGGAATTTTCTTTGAATGTTTTCAAATAATTTTAAAATCTTCTTTTCCTCGCATTCCATTTTGGAACACATTAACCTGGAGATCTACATAAATCGAAAACGTTTGTACAGTATTCTATCTGCATTAAACTGTACTGGAATGGGTTTTTTGTAAGGTTAGTCGGTTTACCTTTTTCCTGTCATTTGTCTTACGGTGTTTGACGGGTGACTTTAATTTGAATCAAGTTGCCTTGTTTGTTAATCAAGTTACGACAACGCAACACTTGGGCGATGCCTTCCAGGAAGTCTTTTTTAAGGGAAACTGGCCCCTATTTAGGCATTACAGACGTGGAGAAAGCCCGGAAAACTCCACGTGGCCAGCCCGTCCGAGCGAGGCGCTAACCCACGACCGAACTCCGAGTGTTTAGGCTACGAAGACCGATGGGTCAAGTTGCCTTGTAAATAATGAATTCTACGCTTTTAAAATTAATCGTTACGCTGTTAAACTTATAAATAAACGTTAATTTACCTTCTCTGGGACCACAATTACATCTTCGCTGTCCGATAAGCATATAACATCGGGAGAATCGACTCTCTCCATTCTCGAACGTCAATTCAAAACTGAAACCGCCGTTAGAATCACGTGACTAACAGTCTCTTTTCTCATTCGTCGAGAAAAGTACCCACTTGTGACATCATGTAGATAAAAATTATTACATATTTCTTTTATGCCATTTATTAATTAATAAATTGTAAAGTATTAAAAAAATAAATACGGACGCTGGTGTGTCCCAAGGACTGGAGTTTCACCAACTCCAGTCCTTGGAACACACCAGCGTCCGTATTGGCGACCCCTGTCGAAGAAAATCGGAAACTAAGCTCGACAAGCTAGATGCACGGGCCTGTAACATAACGTAGCCCAGGTTCAATTAATTTATTTTTTTAATATTTTACAATTTATTAATTAATAAATGGCATAAAAGAAATATGTAATAATTTTTATCTATATGATGTCACAAGTGGGATAACTACTACACGGGGCGAAATAGCCAAAGCAGCTAACGCCTAACTTCACCGCCAGAGGGCGGCAAGCAAGCAAGCGAGTCCCAAGGACTAAACTACAAGGAAAGCCAGATCCCGTATATTTGTTAGCGTGACCTTGGATCTATGTGACGTCACAGCAAGCCCTCTACTTCAACATGTCAGATCTTTCAAATAACAAAATACGATAAAATATTAAATCATTTCTTAATTAATTATTAAATTACTACTAAATGTAAACTACTGTAGAATTTTCGGATTTAATAAGTGTACTGTACGTCAATAAATTTACAAGTCTTTTGTCTAATATTTATTTAACAAATTAATGAGCTATACTTTTTAATATGTGATTATCTTACTTAACTTTTTAATTTTTTTTCGACAATCACCATTTTCAGAAGGCATTCTTTTCAATATTTTATAGTTTTCTTGTTTAAGATTTCTATAATTAATTCTTATTATAGTTCTTAATTTACAAAAATCTTTTATTAAAGTAAAAGGTAAAACTGTTTCCACTGACTAATTCTGTACAACTCCGGGGCCTTTTTTATACGATTCATCGTGATATATTTCGAAATATTTATTCCATTCTATAATTTTTGCTAGCCATTCATCAGTAGGTTTAATAAGCCCTCCATAAGATAAATG